TTGATGATTTATTGGGGAATTTGGACAATTAGTATGTTTCTGATTTTGTTCTGGCTGAACTGTAGTCAATGTGCTTGCTTTAGTTGTAGATTTCGCCTAGTTTTGCTTCTAAGATGGATGAAGAATTTATGTTTATACTTACTGTCTTAATATGAATGCTGTAAGTTGAATACTTGAGTTCTAATCCCAGTTCAAAGATGCTGGAGGATTCGAGGCATTAGTAACAGGGAAAGTTACGGATATGCAGCTTATTGATGTGAATGAGAGGATAATTGGCCTTGAGCGGCTCAATCCAACACCTCGCCCAACAACGTAAGGTGTTTAGTCTGACCAACTGACTCAATGTACAAGCTTCCCTCTGAGATGTTCATTCATGTTGTCAGCTTTGCAGGTCTCCGTATTTGGAAGGGCGGTGGAACTTTGAGTGGTTTGGATCCGGAAGCCTGGGATTCGTTGCAGCTAAATTTGTGTTTGAGTAAGTCTTATTCTGTTACTAGTGTTAGCTTGAAGTTGTAATATCTGCAATTGGTGTCTGTCTGTTCTTTTTTGCATTTATTCTGATTCCGACATGTAACTGATAATTTGTTGATAGGGACTGATTAAACTATGTTATAATGTTAACATGTTGAGACACAAAAGATGGGCTTGACTTTTATTTGCTATTCTGTTAGTGAATTAGTTCTGATTATTACTTGCCACCACAATTTTTTTTCAGGAGGTTTCCTTCATCATTGGCAAATTTATCAAAGTTGGATGTGTTGATCAAAGATGGCTATGCAAATGTCACTGCTTACTTGAAATATCTAAACTCGGTAATTACTTAATATCTGTGATTAAATTTGGCTTGAAAATTCATGTGTTATGCATTTAGAAAATATTTCCTTTCTTTGTTTATTAAATAACACAAACAAGGAATCTATCCTTTTCGTCTTTCAATTATATTATGCTCTTTTAGTGTCACGTATCTCGGGATGTGTGGTAACTGGTGAAATCTAGGCAAATTACTGAACTACCTAATCAGAGTAAGCATTCGGTCATGCCCTCTACAAAACAGTATATTATATAGTCTGTGCAAGTGTTTTTAGTGTCCTTAGGTATATTACTTTTGTTAGATATACTTTACTTTTCAAGTGTCAACTATAAAATAAGGAGAAACTTAAAATAAAGGGCATGTTAGATTTCAATTTGCTGAAACTACATTATTTGCGACTAAGATATCTAAGCAAAGAAGCAGTTGTACAGTGAGTATGTAACATTTATATTGATAATTTTGTATACACTCACCCCAAGTCTGAGACCCACCACTGTGTTGTTGGTGTCTTGGAATTTGCATCTATCTATGCATGCTTCAACTATGGCTGTTTGAAGCTATATACATAGTAGTATCACTAGCTGGCTGCCTGTTACTACTTCGTTTAGTGTATTTGCTAATATACTTAAGCGGGCACCAAATGTCACTCCTTGTTGGGGATTTCAGAAGAATGAAATGATTCATGATAATGCAGATTGAGAGCAATTTTATACTCTCCGCCAAGTTATCTGTTGAGGGGCCTCTTAGAATGAAAGAAGAATATGTTGAAGGGATACTTGAATCACCTAAGGTCAATGAAGAAACTGTACCTCAGCAACTAAGAGGTGCTTTTGGACAGGCAGTGAACACTGTTCAGCAACTTCCCGTTCCTATTAGAGATGCAGTGTCCAGTGGATTGAAAATTCCTCTTGGTGAGCACTCTCATTTCTTTACCCATTAATCATGCTAACATTGCCATGCTAGATTGTCATTCTTTTAAGCCCAAGTTAGTGCAGTCTTGCACAAGCTAAATTATGAGGTGATGTTCTGCTGGTTACTGGGTGGTACATTGCCAAATACAAGTCATATATGTTGCATAACAGATTCAAACCAACATTACCATATGTATTACGGAGTATTACATATGTTACTGAAATCTTACTCCATTGACACTTCACGTGTCTTACCCAGGCGGTTGCTTATTTGTCTGTGGGGATTCTGGCCTCTTTAGTTTCACTAAGTAATTATTTTATAGCTTTCCAATTTTGAATTTTCTCCTTTTCTCAAAATGCCATACACTTTCTGTGAAAATCAAAATTCTCAGGAGATATGTCTATCCTCCCAGAGCTGTGGCATTGAAATCTTTAACCAGCCAATCATGGACAACCACTATCTCTATATTTTAGTAAATTAGGAGAAGAGTGCCATTCTTATTTTGGTTATTATTTTTTGTATCACAGACCACTATCTGACAGCTTATGCCTTATCAAAAACATATCATTTTTTTTTTCTGCTCTCATTTTATATTGCATTTCTCCACTATATTTGCAAGCTACAAAACACAATTGATATCATTTGCCTTGAAATCACTTATGTTTTTAATCATCATGATAATACCACATGTGGAATATATATATATATATATATATATATATATATATCTTTCCGAGTACGTTACACCTAAATCTTTAAAATACAATAAAATTTCTCCTAAACTATCATTTAGGTACCAACAACCTTTCTGGTTATTCAAAAGGCTTGCAGCTTCAGTTTTAAAATTTTCTAAGTGAAGAAATAGATGGTTTATAAATTATATTATTTGCCTTGAAATCACCTAACACCTATTATTTTCAATCATCACTGAAATACAAATACGCATGTGTTAAACCTAAATCTTTAAGATATGATAAAATATCTAACAAGTGGTCACTTAGATACCAACAACTTTTATGTTTAGACTTCTAACATTGAGTGACTCTCCTGTGAGACGGGTCGGGTCAAGATGGAAATATAATACTTATATTGAAAAATGTAATACTAATCAGAAATAAAATATTTGTTACTTATAAGGGAAAGTGACCCGACCCGTCTCACGGACAAGGATCCGTGAGACGGTCTCACACAAGTTTTTGCCTCTAACTTTTTGAGAGTATTTGTGGATTTAATTCATGTTACTCTTGCAATTACAGGTGGGAGCTTTCAAAGACTATTTATGGTCTCCTATCTTGATGATGAGATTCTGGTAAGTCCTTTATATTTCCTTCCAAGTATGGAGTATAATTTATTCTGGAAAACCCTTTTTCTTCTTTGTTAAATTTTCATCTTTGACGTTTCACGATAGTATCAGACTTAAAACTCAATTATCTAACTTTATACTGCATCCTATGTCTGTATTGTCTCTGTGCACCAATAAATCCATTCTTTTGGGTAGACATTTTTAGAAGATGGAAGTAGGAAAGCTGATGGTTGTCAGCAAACCAATTATTGACTTCCGTGACCACTTAAACTCTTTGCTGACGATCCATTCTTGGTAGCAAAGTTATGGGCCGAATCAATAAAAACTGCACTTGCTATGAATCCTTCTTGTTAGCCTAGTCAGGACTCTGGAGTTTGGTTGATGATTTGGTCAAAAGTTGTCAGAAAGCTTCACACAAGTGCAGAAAAATGTCTTTTCTGATGTTTGGTAAAATCACTAAAATCTACATCTCTGTCCTAGTGGATGTTAACCTTTTTAAAAACATGTTTTTTTGGGTGCCAATTGCATAGCTTTCATGATCTGCAAGTATGAAATCTTGATGGCGTTCAAACATTTTTTTGTTGGTTTTGTATAGATTATTAGAGATACTACTGGAATACCTGAAGTCCTTACAAGATTGGCTTCGGCCCCCGAGGCAGAACCAATAACTGAATATGAAAGTTGAAGAGTTCGTTTTGCATACCAGAGGAACTATTTCATCGCTTCAAACCAACTTCTTGTCAGTTGTATCGTATCCTTATCAACCCTTCTCCTTTATTCGTTGTTGTCAACATGATTACAGGCATAATAAAACATGAGATATCTGTTATCAAAAGAATGGGAAAAACCTTCCACAATTATATGAGCTTGTTGACTGTAAAGTATTTGATTTTTGTAACGAATAGAAAGGTTGTGACTGGGGTTGGTAACTTCACTTGTAGAATATTTTACGTTGTATGGTTGTTTGTTTCTCTGGATAATGACCAAAACTGATTTTACAAAGAGTTAAATGCTAATCCTTTGAATATTACTCATTTCCAATTTTAATTTTTTTTCAATTTTAGCTTTTAACTTTTAAAACTATTAAATTTATTCCTTAAATTCCTTAAATATTGAATACTTTCTAATTTTAAGTCTAACCATGGCCAAAGATTTCGTGATCGAGTAACATGACTGTGTCTCTCTGTGCTTCAATAGGTTGAGCAAGTATGTATACTACTAGAGGTGACCACGGTTCCGGTTCAAACCGAAACCGTAATCGAAATCGTCACTGTGCTAACCGGAACCGAACCGAAACCATCCGTACGGTTCCGATTCCGGTTCTTAACCGGAACCTATAAGGTTCCGGTTAAGGTTCCTATAATATTGGAACCAGAACCGGATGGTTCCGGTTCCAAACCGAAAAAAAAAAATTAAAAAAATGCTAGCTTTGCTGCAGGCTTAAGCCTGCAGCGTAGAGTGGACTATGGACTCTGCCACACTGCCGCATTGGGCAGTGGGCAGAGTGGGAAATGACGTGAGACTTGAAGTCTCACGTCATTAATGGCACAAAGGCCAAAGACCAAAAACTTTGGTCTTTGGTCTTTGGCCTTTGCGCCAAGACTCAAAGAGTCAAAGAGGACAAATAAAAAAGTTTTTTTTTTTAATAGATAAATCCGGTTTCGGTTTGATCATTTGTGGAACCGGAATCGTGGTCACTCCTATATACTACATTGTAACAGAGTCATGTTTACAATAGATTAAAATTGAAAAGGATTTAATACTCCAAAGCTAAATTTGAAATGAATGATAATCAGTCCCAAAGCTAAATTTGAAATGAATGATAATCAGAAGACTAATCCATAATTAGCTCTATCACAAAATTCAAAGTATAATTGAAGAGTTCCAAAGTCTATACTAATTTTGAGAATGCAACAAAGTTCATTTTTAGTTCCATTTTTTTAGTTTTGGTTACCTTTCCTGCAGGGACAGATCATTTCATAACTCGTGCTGCAAAGTTTATTCAACCGCAACCAATGTTTCTCACACATTAAACAAAACGGCATACATTTAGAACAACGATCAAAACATTGCAACAAGAAAACAAGAAAATCGTACGTTTTTTTCCTAACAATTCAAAGTTTATTCTTGTACCAGAAGACACCCTTGTTCTTGTCACCTTCATCTGGCTCCACATAAATACACTCCTTGACTTCCCTAAACATTGCTGCAAAGATTGGCGTGCCATCGAACTGATAGTACTCGCCCAGAACTGGCTTGATAGCCTTGGTGGCCTCCATTGCATGATAGTGGGGCATGGTGGAGAACAGATGATGCGCTACGTGAGTATCTGTGATGTTGTGGAACACCTTGTTGAGGATCCCGTAGTCTCTGTCGACTGTGGAGAGTGCGCCCCTTAGCCAATCCCACTCCGAGGAATTGTAGTGTGGCAATGCGGGGTGGGTGTGCTGCAGGTACGTGATCAAAACAAGGAACCCGTTCACGATGAGTAATGGGACACCGTAGACACAGACAACCCACGCGAGCCCCTTGGCTGCTGCTAGCTTATACAGCACGTAGGTTGCAGCGAAGATCCCGGTATCCGAGATGAAGATCTGGATGCGCTCGCGGTCTGAGTATATAGGGCCATAGGGATCAAAGTGGCAGGCGAAGCGGGGGTATGGTCTGCCAGAGACATTGAACATCAAGTATAGAGGCCATCCTAGGGTAAGCTGGATAAGGAGTGTGAATGCTCTGCCCGGTGGGTTATTAAGATATTTGGCATGCCAGCCGAGATCAGACTTCTGCTTGGGGACAAAGACCTCATCCCGCTCAAGGGAACCAGTGTTGGAATGGTGGCGGCGATGGCTATATTTCCAGGAGAAGAATGGAACAAGGAGGGCGGAGTGCAGGATAAGGCCGACAGTGTCATCCAGCCACTGGTAGTCACTGAAGGCGTGGTGGCCACATTCATGTGCAATGACCCAAACTCCAGTCAGCACACAGCCCTGGCAGATCCAGTAAAGCGGCCATGCCAGGTAGGAGAGAGGGTGTGGGAGGAGATGGAAGTAGTTGGTAGCAACATAGTAGAGGGAAGAGGCAATTATGAGGTCGTAAACAACATAAGAGAATGAGCGGAGGACAGACCGTTGGAAACAATGGGGTGGAATTGCTTTCTTGATCTCACCTAAAGTAAAAGGCGGTTTAGCATATGGAACACGCTGAAGATCTTGTTTAGACATCTTGCCCTCAGCGGGTACAGCCATTCTGCCTCCAGCACCCATTTTTCCTGCGTCACATAAATTGCAATAAAGAGAGTCGTCGGTACTCTAGACCAAAGAAGAACTATAATAAAATTAAAATACAAAATAATTAAGGTTGTGTACTCTAGACTGGATACCAAGTCAAACAAATGGGTAACACTATTGATATCTCAGCAAATAAATAGAATGTAAAAAAAATCAATCAATTCCACAAAGCCTAAGTTGATCAACTGAGCAAGAAACAGTGGAACTGTAGTCCGTTCTAAATCACCTACCTTGGTGGGTTGGTTTAAATAAAGCACAGTAAAAATATTCCAAGTCAACCCGTCCAGATTAAGACACAACAAATATAATTTACAATACATGCACTCACATACTCAGACAACCATATTATTATTTTTGTATGTGTGCGCATGTGACTACTTAAAATCAATTAAATGTAATATTTGTTTAATGTTCATGGCCCACAAGTTTCAAAAATTTAGGCAAAAGAATCGTGTATATATTGGAGACTGTATGTTCAGCTATAAAGAATTATTATAACCATACAATCAAACGAAATGAATGAGATATTTTCATAGAATATACTATATCCAACATTAGTTTGACAAATGAAATCATTTGGGTGACAAGCCAGCATATAAAGAATACCAACATGAACTCAAAAATATTATAAACTGTGTAGTATCTACGCATATGCGATAACAACCATACACATTTTACAAAGCATGACCACCAAATTTATGTGGCACCCGAGCCGACTTTGTTGAATGAGGTCATTTGGGAAAGAAACAACTATAATTATTTAATATGCCAAAGAAAAAACAGAGTTTTTTTTTTTTTTTTTAAGGAAGAAAAAACAGAGTTAATCAGCTAAATATCCTTATTTCTCAATAGGTAACATCAGAATTCATAATTGTCAATGACAACAGATTGGCATGTTGATTGTCTGTTAATTAAGAGAACAATAATTTCAGATTAACATTACAGAGATAAAAAGGAAATTCTGAAAAAATATAAGGAAAAGATAGAAAAATGACAAATAAGGGGTTGTACAGCACCCATTTAAGTTCAAGCATTCAGAACCAATCAACTAAAACAGGGAACAAGAGCATTCAATTATCACCAGAAATAATGAAATGGGATGGACCACGTGATCTAAGAAGTAGACAATAGCATTAAATAATAGAACCAAGATCGACTAGCTCATCATCAGAAAAAATTAAGAGAATCATGTCATCATCCAGACAAGTGCAAGGGACATCACATGTTACTGATCTTAAAAAGATAAGAAAATCCTGTGGGACAAAAACAACCTCAAAACCCAGAAATGGAAGGTAAAATCCAAGACACATCATTTTCTCACAATGAAGAAGTGAAGACCAAGCAAGTATGTTTGTGCTTGGAGCAGAACAAACTTATATTTTTACAGCACAGCATAAGACCCAAAAAAATAGTTTTACCTGTTCAGCAGAAGATCAAACAACTATTTTATCCTGAGTCTTCTATTACCGTTTTACAGGAGTACAAATTAAACGGATTCAGAATACCACCATCCATACTATGCTAAAAAGACTTAAAAATTATTGATATTCCTAATCTAATGAGACCAAAATTGCACCAATCTAAGCAGCTTTTAACTGCAAGCAATTAACAGTGTATTTCATTTACCAAACAAAAAGCATCCAGCTAATGATTGGCAAATTAGGATGCCAAAACTGAAATCTCATCCAAAATTCATAGACTCAACTTCCAAATATTTAATCTAACTGACAAGGCAGAAAAGTATTTTACATTTTTACATCTTACTAAAGCTATTCAAGGTAGAAAAGTTAAACAAGAAAAGGAGTACATAGCAAGGAAAATTAACATTAAATCTCAATCATGTGGAATCTTATTGTCAAAAGTAGGTTTCCACTAAGAGAAAGCTGGAGCATTCGGGGTCCCACATACATGGAAAATATTGGAGTCAGTTCTTTTCAGTTTTCATTCGGTGCCATGATTGTATCATTTTCGTAGTGGACTTGCTTTTTACTAGGGCAAAAACAAAATCAGGCATTTAACATTGTAGCAAACAATAAAAACAATAATTGACAAGAAATTGTGATGCTGTGGAAGAACACTATTCTTTAACAAGTTCAGACAAATAAAGAACAAATAATTCCCAATTAAAAAAAAAAAAAAAAAAAAAAAAAAAAAAAAACACACACACACACACACACTCTACTACACTGCTGCATAAACTTCAAAATTAAAGAACAGCTTGCAAACCATCCGGGAAGAAAAAAATAAAATAAAAAGTAAGGCTTTTTGAGGAAAAAACACGCAAATGCCCAGTAATTAGCACATAATAATGTACACTAAAATGGAAAGATTGTACTAAGTGTCCCAAGTATTATCTCAAATGGTGTGATATCTGATGAGTCTAACGAGCCTCCATCGTGAAAATATAACAGAGAGAATCCAGCTGAAAGTATAACAGAGAATACAGAAAACAGCAATAAACGACAGATCTGTTAAAATCCAAAACACATTGAAATCGGAAATCAGTTACAGATTCATCACTCTCATGAATGCATGATGCAGATGCAAACAAAACCGTTAGATCCGGGAGTGTATACACATAAATACATAGAGATACACGTAGAGCGTAGTAGAAGAAATGAACCTCAAGAGATATTTCCGCTTCTCTCTACCTCACTGAGCTCCTATCTCCACCCACTTCTCTCTCTCTCTCTCTACCTTCCGAGAAGAGTGGCCGTAGAATCGCCGTGTCTTCTCTCTCAAAGAAGCAGAGACACAGGTATTTAAGCTTTTTTCCATTATCAAAAAAGTTTTTTTTTTTTTTTTTTTTAAAAAAAAAAAAAGCTTTTTTCCGTCGTCTGCTTTGTGCGCTCACGCACTGCGCAGCCGCAACCCGGTGGGGACCACTGTTGGTCCGAAAAGTAGGTAAATTTTGCTTTATAATTAATTTATTTATAAAAATTAAATTTGTAGTTTTATGATTACTAAAAAATAGCATGGTCAATTTCATTAGATTTAAAATTATTTTCATGTATTATAAATATATTTTTAATAAATTATTATATATTAACAATAAATATTGTAATGTAAATTATGATTTATAATATATGGATCATAATATCGTGGAGAACTGGAGAACTTCTATTTTGACCGTCCGTGCATGTTAGCAATTATTATTATATGGATTATATTATCAATAATATATATTTAGTACAAATAAATATTAAAAATGTATTTTATATTAAGAAAAAAATTATTATTTAAGTATTATAAATACATTATTTTATATAATATATATTTAATACACAAATAATGTATTTTTAATTTATTAAAAATATATTTTTTGTTATGATCTACACAATATACTATGTGAACCATGATCCACACAATAATTTGTTGTGGGTTAGTAATTGGACTATGTAGTCTAGTTGTCCAGTTATCAGATACTATGGGCTCTTGTTATAAAATGTTCAATGGGCTTTTATGGTGAACTGGGCTTCTCCACCAAAACATGGCCCAATCTATATCTCTGTGTGTATGTATATATAGAATTGTACTCTGGTTATATATATAGAATTACACTCTGGTGCAAATGGAGCGCACATATGTAAATATACGAATGCCTGATATTCATCCACATGTCCAGATATAATGGATGAGAAACACTGATTTTTTTTTAAAAACGCGACGGCATTTTTGTAAATAATTGAACATCGAAGTACAAGTAAAATGTATTACAAGTGTATGTAAAATGTATTATAGGTGCAAGTAAAATTTACAATGAGTATCAATACTAAGTGCACATATAATTATAAGTAGTTGCGGGTGGTTTCCACAGGTACTACTACCCGCAAGAACAAAAAAAAAAATGCCAAACAGAACGAACTCAAATCAATGAATGTAAACAAGACAAAATTACATGCACTTGCATGCAAAAGTAGGTGCACTTGCAAGTGAAAGTAGGTGCACCCGATCAATAAATGCAGGCAAAAACTACATGCACTTGCAGGCGAAAGTAGGCGCACTTATAGGTGAAAGTAGGTGCACCCGATCAATGAATGCTGACACGTAACGCGCGCTAATTGGTTCGCGTTTCTCTCTTGGGCACCTATTCACACCTGAACGCGACCATATATATATATATATATATATATATATATATATATATATATATATATATATATATATATATATATATATAAAACAAATTTTGTTCAAAAGAATTGAAATCTTTTTCGCTCAAAATACATTTCAAATGAAGAAATAAATATATTCTCTCTTAAAATAAAGAGATAAGAAAATTTTGCATTTATTGATACTAGTATTTGCACCCGTGCGATGCACGGAATTGATTTGTTGTAATATATTAAGAATATATGAATCGATATATAATTATTTAAATTAGAACATCAAATATTATATAGTGCAATTAAATATATGGTTTGGATCGTTTATATATTTTGATGGTATCATTGCTTGAATTTGTGCAAATAATTGCTCAAATTAATAGCTAATGTCTAGATGTACGCATACGGTGCTATAACTTTGAAGATTTTATTTATCATTGTTTAGAATTTTCATAAATTAGTAAAATGTGCTCGTTCTCTAACAACTCAGTTATAGAAATGAATTGGTATCCTTATTCATTTGTATGGAAGATATATTTTTTTGTCCAGATATATAACAATTTTTTCATTTAAAAAAAAAAAAAAACTTAATATCACCGATTATATTTACACATTATTGAAACCTCTTTGTAGACGACATTGGTAGTGACAACACAATCCTATTCATCTTCGTCTAGAGCTAACACTTTCAATCCATCAGGACGGATTACTTTGGATTAAAATATATAATGGTAGAATATTACTCGATTAGTTATCCTTTTATATTTTCAATCAATTAGTGATATCGGATTCATTTTCAGCCAATTATTCTTTTTTATTTTCAGTCAATTAATCAATTAGAATATCAAATGTAGTGATATTTTTACCTAATTTTCGTTCCATTTTTAATTGATGATGTAGAATTGTAGATATTATTATTAAAATATTTCCGTTTCATTTTTAATTCACCTTTACTATTGTTTAAAATATGCATTTACTATTGATAATGTAGAATATTATTATTGAAATATTTTTCTTCAATTTTTAATTTTCATTCCATTTTTAATTAAAATGCAATGATCTGGTCATTTTTTTAGTCAATTATGGAGCATTTTTTTATTTGCAGTCAATTATTAATATTCATTTCCTTTTAAAATTTTCAGTCAATTAGTAATATTAGAGTTATTTTTAGTCAATTATTTTTTTTATTTTCAGTCAATTAGAATATAGATGTATTAATATTTTTACCTAATTTCCGTTACATTTAAATTTGATGATGTAGAATATTATTAATGAAATATTTTCGTTCCATTTTTAATTTACATTTACTATTTTTAAAAATATGCATTTACTCCTTCATGATGTGAAATATTATTATTGAAATATTTTCTTTCTATTTTTAATATTCATTTACTTCTAAACAAAAAAAAACAAAAAAAAAAAAAAAAAAAAAACTTTGGACTTCTCACTCCTTGCCCACATTGATGGCAAGCAATTATGTTTGTAAACATTTTCAAGAGCTCATTTTTCCAAACATTTTCAATATGAGATTAAAATGATCCCACATCATTCTTCTTATTTTTCTAATTTTAATTTTATTTTGTATATCGTTTTGTTTGGATGATTATGATGATGATGATTATTATTATTATTATTATTATTATTATTATTATTATTATTATTATTATTATTATTATTGACAATTTTAAAAAATTGAGATTGAAAAATTCACCAAAATTTTAACAAATTCGTCATTTTAACAATTTATCTTTAATCAAAACACCAAAAATATTATTTAATAACTTAATAATTTGCTCTAAACTGCTAAAAACTAAAACAATACATACATTTTGGGTTAATCTTTCCCAACCCACTAATAATTAATAAATAATAAATAATGAATAAATAAATAAAAACTAAAATAAGAAGACAAATCTAAGGTTTCTTAAATAAGAACCTTTTAATTTCTCAATACTTGCGACATTGATGGACAAACAATTATGTTTGTACCTCTTATATAGAGGATTTCAAGAGCTTATCTTTTCAAACATTTTCTATGTGGGATCAAAATAATCTTATATCATTTACAAAGGGACGGGCTCCCCTTTGTCTTTTTTTTTTTTCTTTTTTTTTTTGTTAATTTTAATTTTATTTGGATTATTATTATTATTATTATTGTTGTTGTTGTTGTTGTTGTTTTCGTCGTCGTCGTGTTGTTGTAATTTGATTATTTGGCAAATTCGACAAAATTTTAACAAATTCAAATGTTTAACATTTTATATTTAATCAAAACACCAAACATATTATTTAATAACTTAGCAATTTGCTCCAAACTGCTAAAAACTAAACCAATACATCTACATTTTGGGTTAATCTTTCCCAAACCCCCTAATAATTTTTTTTTAAAAAAAAAACTAAAATAAGAAGCCACTAAGATAAGGTTTATTAAATAAGAGTCTTTTGACTCGTTGGGCTTCAATAGGTGAACATATATTATATGTAACAGGTCAATCGAATAGTTATGTTGTGGAACCGTGTCCACCTTGCAAGGTGGACACAATTCTATGTTAATAATTAATGAATTATATGTTCATAATTATAAAGCTATATATTCATAATTTTTGAACTTCATATTCATAATTATTGAACTCTATATTCACAATTACAAAACTATATGTTCATAATTACTTAATTATATGTTCATAATTATAAAGTTATATATTCATAATTTTTGAACTTCATATTCACAATTATTGAATCTCTATATTCATAATTACATAACTATATGTTCATAATTATAGAACTATATATTCATAATTATGAACAATTTTGGAACCGTGTCTACCATGCAAGGTGGACATAGTTTCACATCTTAATTTGTCGGGTCAATAGTACTCAAAAATAAAACATGAGCATTTGGACTTCTCAATACTTGCCCACATTGATGGTCAAACATTTATGTTTGTAAGAGGAGCTCAAGAACTCCTCTTTCCAAACATTTTCAATGTGGGATGAGGAGCTCAAGAACTCATCTTTCCAAACATTTTCAATGTGGGATCAAAATGATCTAGCATTATTTACAAATGGAGCCCGTGGATCCCTTTTGTCTTCTTTTTATTATTTTTAATTTTAAATTTAATTTTATTTTGTATATTGTTTTGTTTGGATTATTATTATTATTATTATTATTATTATTATTATTATTATTATTATTATTATTATTATTATTATTATTATTATTATTATTATTATTATTATTATTATTATTTGTAATTTGATTATTGATAAATTCGCCAAAATTATAATAAATTCGTCATTTTAACATTTTAACTTTAATCAAAACATCAAAATATCAAAATCAAAATATATTATATAATAACTCAATAATTTGCTCCAAACAGCTAAAAACTAATACAACACATACATTTTGGGTTAATCTTCCACAACCCCTACTAATAATAAATAAATAAAAACTAAAATAAGAAGACAAAGTTAAAGCTTCTTAAATAAGAACCTTTTGACTTCTCAATACTTGACCACATTGATGGGCAAGCAATTATGTTTATAAGAGTCTCATTGCTCATCTTATATAGATGAGCTCTCTCTTTTCAAACATTTTAAATGTGGGATCAAAATGATCCCACATCATTTACAAAGGGTGCCGGT